ACGAACGTCTTCTATTTCAGACAGTCGAACTCAGTAAACGAGAAAGCAGTCGAATCAGATAAGGTGGCTTGTCCATGCCTTATATTCGACATATGATATCGTGATACAAAAGGACCATCAACCGGAATCATCACTAGCGTTCGTAAGATCACGAACAAACTCTATTCGAGATAGGTAGTCATAGTGTCTTGCTAGAGACCGCCTATGAGTTGTATATCCGGAATAGAGATTTCGGGTTATACTGCTATATCGAATGAGCCTACAGGGTCACACACGCAGGGAAGGACAAATGCACGAGAAAACGTCGAGGAATCTGGACAAGAGGTCCGGACCGTTCGGTCTAGGAGTGGACCGAACGGACCAGAGCATCTAGTCCGGACGGACCAAATTGTTGGACCGAACGGACTAGAGAGTCCAGTCCGAACGGACCAAGTGTTGGACCGAACGGACTGACCCGTCGGACCGAACGAACCTAGTTATATGACTGGTTCGAACGGACCAAGTGTCCAGACCGAATGGTCTACTAAGCAGTGTGTTCGGTCTGGGTTTCGGATTTAATTTTAAAATCCGGAATTAGGGTTAATCACTTGAATAAGAGGAGATTAATAACCCTAACACTAACGAGCCGGAAAAATAGAACTTCTTCAGATCTTTTTGGAGAGTCTAGAGGGTTGAAGAAGTGATCTAAATCTCGTTTTCTCAAAGTACATCATTGAATAGAAGATTCGAGTCCTAGAAGACAAGTTCCAAAGGTTGGAATCCATCCCGAGGTGTGGATACGTGTAGAGGGCAAGGTATTCTTCCTGCCTACAGTGATCAGACGCGTTCTTCGACTGATACAGGCCCCGGATCGATTGAGGTAAGCGTTCTAACGTTTCTGCAAGATCATGCATGATAGGTTTTAGGGTTTCATCAAAATTTTTGTTTTTCATCCGCTGCACAGACCCTAGAACTGATCTCTTAGGAATAGTATTCGCTTATGAGATCCCAGGAAAACCCAACAGTGGTATCAGAGCCTGGTTGCTCTACATG